AAACAGAAATCTGTACACCAATGTTCACTGCAGTACTTTTCACAATACCCAGAAGGTGGAAACAACCGAAATGTCCATCAACAGATGAATGGACAAACAAAATGTGGTACATACACACAGTGGAATATTATGCAGCTGTAAAGAGAAATGAAGTTCTGACGCATGCCACAACATGGATGAACCTTGAAAACATTACGTTGAGTGAAATAAGTCAGTCGCAAAAGGTCAACTACTTTATGATCTCACTTATATGAAATAAGCAAATATACAGAAATCAAAGATTATTAATGGTTACCAGGGGTGGGAGGAGGGGGAGTTTTTGTTGTGGGGGAGGCGTTGAGTTTATGTTAATGGCCATGGAACGTTTTGGATGAGGATAGAGATAATGGTGGCACAACATGAAAAATGTACTGAGCTGTAAACGTGGAAGTTGTGTTGGCAGATGTTTTGGTGTATATGTTTCACCACAATTTAAAAAAAAAGATTTTAACTTGAAAACTGCACAACAGTAAACTACAGAGTTCACAAAGGCATTTGCAAGTAATAATATTAGCAGCTAACATTTTATTTAGCCTTACTAGGAGCTCTGGGGACGCAGTGGTTAAAGCAATCGACTGCTAACCGAAAGGCTGGTGGTTCGAAACCACCAGCGGCTCCACGGGAGAAAGATGTGGCAGTCTGCTTCCACAGACATTTACAGCCTCGGAAACCCTGTGGGGTTGCTATAAGTCAGAAGCAACTCTATGGCAGTGGGCTTGGTTTGTTTGGTCTGGCATGTGCTAGTCATTGTGCTAAGTGCTTTAAATTATTAAATTATCTTATGTAATTTAATTTCATTATAACTCTATGAGTAGGTTCTGACTGCTGAGGGTAATGTTGTTGTTAGCTGCTGTTGGGTCCGCCCCAACTCATGGCCACTCCATGTGTGTCAGAGTAGAACTGTGCTCCATAGGGTTTTCAATGGCTGACTTTTCAGAAGTAGAACATCAGGCCTTTCTTCCAAGGCACTTCTGTGTGGACTCCAACTGTCAGCCTTTTGATTAGCAGTCTAGTGCTTAACCATTTGTGCCCCCCAGTGACTCCTGCTGAGGCTAATAGAGGTCCAGTAATTTCCTAGGGCCAAGACGGTCAGTGATGACCCAGGATTCAAACGCTGACCCAGGTCTGTGTACTTCTGAAACGTGTGCTATATCCTCTACATCATACGGCTTCCACAGAAAACATTTCCAGTTACATCTAGCAGAACCCTCAGCACTCTTGAGACTGGTGAAGTAGAACTGTCTCCTTACTGTTCTCAGACAACCACCTGGGTGTCCTCACTTCCTTAGGGACACTCAAGCTGTTCTTCTTATCATGAATGCCCACTTCTTCTGTATCTCTGAATTCTACTAATTTGCCAAGATCAGTTGAGCCCCCCCTTTCTGGGGGTTTCTCCTTGCCCTAGTTATTTTTCTTTATTCTGCCCCTAGCCAATAAATAAACTGCTGAAGGGTAGAGCCTGCCTCTGACAGCACCGAGCCTTTGCTCATCCTGCACACACGAACAAGAGACATTCACAGCTCCTCAAAAACAAAACAAAACTCTCATGAAAACCACTGCCTTCCTTCCCCTGGAGAAGATGCTACTTAGCAGAACCACATGCCAATCTAAAATGCCAACACTCTCCTTGACTTGGATATTTCTCTTTAACTACTAACAAATCAGCAACCACAGTCTTCATTATCTGCACCTGGGATGTTTCTGCCATCTCTCTTTCAAGAACAAATGGAACTTGCTTTTTACTGTTTTCATTTGTGTTAACTATTAAACTCCAATTCTCTCTAAACCCCAAAAAGCCTATCCCCATATCAGAACACAGATTCCCTTGCGTTCAGGTGGGACAACAGCTATTTCACCTCTTTGGTGTATAGTGTATGTTCGTCATCACAAATCTAGGTGTAAAAATTGCTCAACAATACTGCTTGGGGATAGTGGTTACCCTTGGGGACGTAATTTCTGAGAGGGAGTACCAGGGGGACTTCTGGGATGCTGGTCATGTTCTTTCTTGATCTGGGTGATGGAAACATCAAGCCATACACTTATGATCTGTACATTTTCTGTTAAGTATGTTATATTTCAATAAAAACATTTAAAATACTCTTTGCAAACAGCAACACGCAACAAATTTTTCTTCACAGAAATATACATCTCATTTTCTTCATGCAACATCCTTAGGAAAGAATCAGTAAGACCATTTCACTAGTGGTAGGATGGAAGAAAAAGGCAAAGCAACTCTCAAGGTGCCGTATAACAGATATAGGTGAGACTGGTGTTCAAGGACAAACCTAGCGCCACACTCTCAACACCTACTGCTGTAGCCAAATTTACAGATTCCTATTAGAAGCACAATCAACACCTGTGGAAGCAGCAGTCAAGAAATCAAACAACACATTGCACTGGGCAAATCTGCTGAAAAAGACCCCTTTAAAGCGTTAAAAAGCAAAGATGTCATCTTGAAGACTAAGGTGCGCCTGACCCAAGCCATGGGGTTTTCAATCACCTCATATGCATGCGAAAGCTGGACAATGAATAAGAAAGATCGAAGAAGAACTGACGCCTTTGAATTGTGCTGCTGGAGAAAAATATTGAGTATACCACGGATTGCCAAAAGAATGAACAAATCTGTCTCGAAAGAAATACAACCAGAATGTTTCTCGGAAGTAAGGATGGCAAGACTGTCTCATGGACTTTGGACATGTTATCAGGAGGGATCAGTCCCTGGAGAAGGACATCATGCTTGGTAAAGTAGAGGATCAGCAAAGAAGAGGAAGACCTTCAACAAGATGGACTGACACAGTGGCTGCAACAATGGGCTCAAGCATAATGATTCTGAGGATGGCACAGGACCAGGCAGTGTTTCGTTCTGTTGTACATAGGGTTGCTACGAGTCAGAACCGACTCGATGGCACCTAACAACATTAGAAGTAGCTACTCTGATTCAGAAAACCAAATGAATTTCATGATGCAAGAATTATACCATAGTTCTCTGAAACACAGCATACAAAGGAAGTAGCTAACAGGTTCAAATGGTATTGTAAAACCACCATTAGATGGTGAGACACTTGAGACATCTTCAGACCCTGTAAAAGTGAGGAATTGGTTCTAACACAAATGAAAAACCTACCACTTAGCTAAAACTGGGTCAGGCATCTTGCTGAACACTTTACATACATAATTTCATGTAATTGTCACAACAACCCTAACGTTATCCCTGCTTTACAGATGAGGAAACTGAGGCATGCAGAGGTTAAGGAACCTGCCCAAAGTTACAGGATTATTAATGAGCAGGGCAGGGATTCAATCCAGGCAGTCAAACTCCAGAATCCATGTTCTTAACAATGATGCTAGTCATGCCTTTGGTTACAATGCACCCAGGAATAGATTTCCAGTTTCGAGTGTGCAATTATATTTTTGAGCTGCATTATAGCTCAATAAAATGTGCTTGTCCAAGCACAATTATAAATATTTTGACAAATACACACAACTCTTTCATAAATGAGAGCCTGACTTACAGCGTGGGTCTGTCTTCAAAAGATCCGTGCTTACACAGGGGACAGAGTGCTCATGTCTGCTACCTCTCCACCAAGGCCTTTCTCCATACATTTGTTTGAAATCCAAAGACAAAATACTTGACCTACCTGAAGCCACAATCAGCCCAGATTAGACTGGAAAGATCAGCAGTCTTCCTTTCTCTTCCATTATGAAAGACATATTGCTTTTTAACAAAGTATTTGCTCATCCTGAGCTCCTTGAGTAAGCAAAAACTATATCCTATTGCATTAGCAAGACTCAGGAAAACTAAGTAAACAAAACTCTTGTTGGATCTCTGCAATGTTACCTTTAGTTGTGCTATTAGAAGAGTATTTTGGATCTACTTTTCCTTTCAAGGTACATTTAACTATACGAAATGTAAAATTGCTTGCTTATGTTACCTTTGAGGAATTTAAGTGGGGAAAAAGGACAATTATTTAAATATAATGGTGATTTAATTAATTTTTTTCACTTTGGTTCGTTGAAGTAGTAAAATACAAGCTATGAGTCTTTTTTCCACCTCTAAGTCATTTTTTCAGCATTGTTTATACGACTTTGAATTCTGGTTTGGCCATTTTGGTTGTAAGTGAATATGAATTCTACCTTCTAGCATGCGATTGTTTCAGATAAACTGACTTCATCACAAATACAGTTCCATGCCCTGAGAGGTAATCTTTGCTACCTGGATTTGGGGAAATGATCTCTTTTGCAGCACGCCCCACACAGCAAAGTGTCTGTGGTGTCACCAAGTTCCATGAATCACCATCCAAAATGCAATTCCCAGGTACTTGGGGTTCTCAAAGTTCTGAAACAAGCCTCTTCGAAACTGCCCTCCTTGAATAAGATTATTCATGGAACTTCCCAGGACATTAAGGCAATGTCTCCAGAACACAGAGCTGGGAGAACTGGTCATTGCCTATCAACCTGCCTTCATCCTGTCAGTCACCCTTCGAGATGCAAACCCGGAGGAAATCCGAGGATGCCGTGCATTCCACCCAGGGATGCGCTGACAGTTGGGTCCTCCTAGGAGCTTTTCTGGAGGTGCTGCTGGTTGAGTAGGGGGCACTAGTGGGTGACTTGCTCCTCTCCGGTAAGGCAGGGGCCCTGGGCCTGGCTTTTGGAAGCGCTGAGGATGCTGACCTTAACTTGGTTCTTTTAAAAATAGCTCAGAGGCCGCAGCGCTCACGTGAGTGGCCCCGCTTCCCCTCCATCCGCCGGGGGCTTCCGGCGGCTCCTCGCCCCCAGGGTCGCGGAGGGGAAGAACGGTGTCCCCGAGTCCCGGTGACAGGCGGGACCCCCGCCCCGGGCACAGACTGGGAAGGAAGAGGGGGCGCTGGATGGGGTCGGGAGCCAGGGCAGGGCGGGCCCGGCTCGGACTTGGGGCCCGGGGCGGAGAACAGGCCCCCGGCGGGCGCCGCGGCCGCGCTCACCTTCTTCACTGACAGCGAGATGTTCTCCAGGATCCGGTCTTTCACCTCCCGCGGCTCCATGGCGCCGCCGCCGCCCCGCCGCCTCT